GTGCCTTTATTTAGGTAGCTTTACAAAAGCTCAATAATTGGAAAAGTTGCTACATTTTGAAATTTAAAAGCACCTGCCATGGATCCATAATATGCATTACCTTGTTGTCAAGCTTCGCAAGATTTGTTACAACACAGTGGATCCATTCAAGTCAGTGCAGCTACAGCAATTGACACCAGCTAGAATCTGGGCTTTTCTGATTCTCCTTAGGACTAATCGGGGAAATACAGTTACATTTATTAGAGGCACCAGATTCCTAGCAGCTGTAAATTGGTCTAATTCCTTTGAATTCAATGGAGCTTCAGAACTTGAGCTGAGAATCTGACCCTGGACCCATACCCATACCCATATAGTGGAACACATACTTATTCACAACATGGTCTCCAAAGGAAGCAAAGGGTTAAGAGAAATATAAATTAAAACATGTTATTTATTTTGGATAAGCAAAAATATAACTGTATTTTAACAGGGTTTATGATGTGATATGATCTTTTAAGGGATGTCAGACCTTAGAGCAAATCAGGTTTTCTCCATCTATTGGTTTTTTTTACTTGCAGGCAACTAATAGCTAGACACTCTTGATACAACTATCCAATTACAGCAATTTTCAAGAAAGTAAATCGTGCATAGATTCACTAGGACACCTGAGGATGGGATCCACTAATGTAGTTTTCTGGATGAGGACCTACACAAGGCTTATACATTATTTAAGTCCCCATTTAAGCCTTATTTTCAGGGGTTAAGTAGTACAGAGATCTCTTGCTGGCCCTCTAGATGGGGAGAACTTCATTTACAATGAATATCTCAGCATCACCTTGATGATCTCAATGTGTGTGTGTGGGGCGGGGAGGAAACGTATTAAAAACATTTCAAACGTCTGTAACCACTGAACCATTTTAATGTCTTAAAAAGGTAAGAATGATGAATAGCCTATGTAGACATTGACTCTGCTGGTCTAGAGTAGATCTATATTTTAAAATTCTCTGAGACACACAAATGAATTAAAATGTCCAAATATTATATCCATTTGTATATAGAAGAGATGAACAGAAGTATAATGAATGTTTTGTTTTATCATATGAAGAATTTGTTGTATCTCTAAATAAGTTTAATTATATTTTAAATTCAATATTTGATATGGTTTCAAGAAATATTTAGTTATACTTAATAAATAGAAGGGCCAGCCAGATTCTTTAGTAATGGGAATTTATCAGCTGGCATATTTACAAATCAAAGTTCAGTGAAAGTCAGGCAGCTAAAGTGTTGATATCAATGGTTTTATAAAGATCAGAGCTTTCTGAGCTATGATACACCACAGTCTCCTTCTGCCACTAATTGCCCCGGATACTTCATGTAAGATAAGGCTCAATAATATCAGCTACTGAAGTATTATACTTCCCTCTGACTCAAAATGTCACAAGACTTTTATGATAGGCATTTTAGCTGGCTGCTAGCTTTGCTTTTCAAAGCGGATCTTAGCCATGTATTGGCTTAAGCCCTGGGATCTGTCACTATGATAATTGGCCGCAAAGCAAGAAAAAGCGAAGGCGTGTATTGAGAAGCGGGAATGGTCAAAAGAAAAACTCTGTTAAAGTCAATGAATTGTGGAACCAGTTAGCTGCCATATCTCACACTCCTGCTAACCAATTTTTAAACCTCCTTGGAAGGCAATACACAAAACGTGATTTAGAACTGCATGTGGCCCCGATGCCGGATAGCACTTAAGCATATGCTTCAACTGAAGAATTTGTTTAAATGTGTTTCTGAACTGGGATGCTTTCCTGGAATTGGGGCCTATGTTTGCAGTGTATATGCAACAATAGATAGAACATATTCCAATTCTATATTTTGGCTATATCTATATATAGAACTATATAGGCTATATGTGTATATTATATATATATATAATAGGAATTTTATTGTATATCTAATAGATAGATATAGATTATATAGCTATAAATTAGATATATAATAGGATACTAGTAGCTGAAAGCCATCTAATTTGTTAAGTCATGGATGTAAAAAAGCTGAAAACGGCTGCAAACTTAAAAATTTGCAAAATCCCAGTGATGACTGAACCTGGTGATATTCTAAATCAAAAGAGATCTCAACCATTCTTGTAGTTATTTCCATCACTTCACACTGTCTCAACAGATGTCTAGGTTCAGAGTGATTTGGTGGGGATAGGGTGCAGATGGTTGTGTTGTGCTGGGAGAGTTGTGTGGATTTGTGCGGGTGGTGAATGAGGGGTGTGTGCTGCTGGGAGGGGCTATGTGGGTTTGGGGATATTGTGTGTGTTGGTTGTGTTGATTTGTGTCTGGGGGGGGGGTGCTGAAAGATTTGTGCGAACAACAGCTGAGCGCACGGGTAAAACAGTTGGGGCAAATAATCCACCCTCTGTGCAGTCTCCTTCATACAGTCAATGAAATTGTGCATGTAAATTAGCTGCAGATGGAGGGTGGTGATTGCTTGTGTTCATTCTGTTATTACAGTGACTTGTGGCTCTTGGTATGGCATAGCTACATGCCTTCTTATAGCTGCTCACTGCATGGGTGTAATTCATAAAGTCACAATGGCTGAGAACTTAAAAAAGTGGAAAGAAACAGACTGTGAAACTCAGGGATGATCCAACCTGGTGATATTCTGAACAAAAAAAATTCTTTATCATGCTTGTAGCTCTTTCTGTTGCTTCACAGTGACTCAACAGATGTTCCAGGCCAGGGATTCTCAACTTCATGGCACCGTGACCCTCTTCTGACAACAAAAATTACTACACGACCCCAGGAGGGGGAACTGAAGCCTGAGCCCACCCAAACCCCACTGCCTCGGGTTCGGGGGGAGGCAAAGCTGCCCCAGGGCTTCTGCCCTGGGCAGGGCGCATGTAACCTTAGCCCACCTGCCCAGCGCTGAAGCTTTGGCCCTGCGTGGTGGAGCTCGGGCTTCGGCCCTAGCACCCAGCAAGTCTAACACCAGCCGTGGCGACCCCATTAAAATGGGGTCACGACCCACTTTGGGGTCCTGACCCACAGTTTGAGAACCCCTGTTCTAGACTTCAGAGTGACACAGAGTGACATTCCTGGAATCATACAGATGATGCCTATTATATATTTTCATAGATTCATAGATTCTAAGGCCAGAAAGGACCATTATGATCATCTGACCTCCTGTATAACATAGGCCATAGAACTTCCCCAGCATAATTCCATATCTTTCAGAAAAACATCCAATCTTGATCTAAAAATGGTCAGTCATGGAGAATATACCACAACCCTAGGCAAATTATTCCAATGGTTAATTATTCTCACCATTAAAAATGTACATCTTTTATTTCCAATCTAAATTTGTCTAGCTTGAGTTTCCAGCCATTGGATCATGTTATATCTTTCTCTGGTACATTGAAGAGCCCATTATTAAAGACTTGTTCCCTGTGTGGGTACTTTGTAATCAAGTCACCCTTAACCTTCTCTTTGTTAAACTAAATAGACAGATCTCCTTGAGTCTATTACTATAAGGCAGGTTTTCTAATCTTTTAATCATTCCCGTGGCTCTTCTCTGAGCTTTCTCCATGCTTCTTCAATGTTGGGCACCAGAACAGGACATAGCATTCCAGCGGCAGTTGCACCAGTGCCAAATACAGAGATAAAATAACCTTTTTACTCTTGTTTGAGATTCCCCTGTTCATACATCCCAGGATCGCATTAGCCCTTTTGGCCACAGTCTTCCAGTGGGAGATCCTGTTCAGTGGTTATCCACCGTGATACCCAAATCTTTTTCAGAGTTGAACAAAGTGGGCCTGATTCCTCTCATGCACTTTCTCTGAAATAGCTCCCTTGCAGTCAATGGGATTAAACCTGTGTAAGAATAATGCAAGTGAGAGGAGCAGCAGGCCCAGTAAAATAAATCATCTTTTGCATGCTATACCCACTAGCTACCTGAAGAAACCAATATCAGAAAAGTAGATCATAGTTAAGGGCCCAGTCCAATGCTCATTGAAGTCGGTGAAATGAATTACATGAGATTTATAGATCATTTTATGAATCACAGCTTTTTGTTACTTCCATTCCATTCCTGTGTTTGTATTTTATCTACTTAGACTGTAAACGCTTCAGGACAGGGGCCTTGTCTTCAGACCTGTCTGTAAAATGCCTAGAACTCTGGTGGTACTTTCTCATTGTTTGTTTGTATGTGTGTGCCTATATATATGAAAAAGAAACAGTGCCAGAGCTCTGCTAATAGCCAGGCCCTTAATGAACACAGCCTAATTCTGCAACAATTGTTGATATTTAAGGCAGGGCATATTGTACTATATAATGGTGGTCATTTTTCAGGAGTAACCATGTCCTCACAGGCTTTAAATATGAGTGCACTGATATCACAGTTTATTTATTTAATAGAATCCGTTCACTATACGCTGAATCTGATGTAACACACCAGACGGCTCAGATTACTAACAATCCTAGTCTTGGGGCAAGGGGATGGAGGTTTTGTTTTGGAGGGTGAGGGGGTAATAGCTGGGTCTGGCTTTACTGCCAAGTCTGCAGTATTCTGCCCATGTTTTTCATACATATATTTTTAAAAGAATTTTCTTTAAAATGTACAAATATTGGGCCCAATCCTGTGGCATCTCTGCAGGTGATTGTAGCCAAATGGGAGTTCTGCATGCAGACCTGCTCATTTCATTTTAGCTTGCCCTGATGCTATGCAGATTACCTTGCTGAGGAGCAATCCCACGGCTTCTGTTCCATGAGTTGCTGGAGAATGAGTGCAGTGCCAGCGTGATGTGTATGATACATAAGGAACACAAGTCTGGAGGCAGACTGCACCTTTCTAGTATCAAGGAGCAGCATTAACTCTGAGCGTAGGAGAACCTGTTCTAGGAGGCAAAGAGAGTCATATTGACAGGGCAATCTGCAAAGAAAGGATTTTCCTAGATGGCGATTATGGCCTTGCACTGGTATAGGGGTGAAGGAAAATAAATGTCACCAAAATATATTTCTCAGCTTCTGCTTCAGAGCATCATCAGCAGCCACGACCCTATCAAGGTGTCCGTGTCAAAGAACCGGTGAAGGAGCTACTGAAGAGGAAACGTGGGAACATCATTCATAGTGTTAATGCAGCTGCAGCGACAACGGTAAGAAAAAACACAGAATGCCTGAGGAAAGCTCTTCCTTTCTGACTGAATAGGCACCCAGCCCGTCTCCATCATGTGCTCCCATCGATTTTAATGGAAGTTGAAAGAACTCAGCTTTCAGTGGGATTTGAGAACCTATCTCCTTTAGGATTCTTTGAAAATCCCAGCTTAAAATACCAAAATCAGCAAAATAAGTCACAGGATTCAGGATAGTTGCCTTATGCAGATGTACTTTGTATCATCGGGGATACAGAAATGTCTAATTCTTAAAAATCCACTAAAACTTTGCGGAGCTATTTCCCCATGGAGTCTAATTTCCTATTTTGTAGTGTGCTGAAAACACTCGGTTATACAGGTGACCTGTTCTGTATATACTGTTCCAGACAAAACACACAAAGCAACCTTAAAAGCTACTGAAGCTGTCCAAAAAAGCTCTCTGGCCCCTCATTTCCTATACTTAGGCTAGATCCATTTATTCTGGTGTTTAAACTCCTGGAGGGAAGCAGTTTGACTGTATCTTCACTAACAATGAAATTCACTCTGAGCAGTGGAGCCACACAAGGTCTCATGTATCATTTAAATCCCACTTAAGCTTCAATGGAGCGTGGATCTTGTGCTGACCCACTGCAGAGGGGTGAATTTCACCCTGAAATAGTTTTCAATAACTGCTCTCATACCAGTATAACACAGGCACATGATACCTTCATCTAAGAGGCAATGGATGATAATATATTTATTGCTACTTCTGCTCTGAGCAAGAGTTTCTCAAGATATGCGGAGTTTAAATCTTTCAGGAATAACTGATATCTGAATATTCTTCTTTGTTCTCTAGGTTGTTTTGCCCCATCAGCCACTTCCGTCCTATTCACCAATTGGTAATGCTTCCAAACATTTATTTTCATTTGTTCGTCAGCTTGGTTTCAGTCCATGCTTTGGCTGACATTTGATACAATTCTTTTCTTGTTTTGCAGGCCAGCCTTGCATTGATATGGATGTTACTGCCTCTTCGTTGCCAGTTACCGACGAAGGGGCATTATGTTCTGGTTGGCTCTCTCAGCCTTCTCCTGCTACCCTACAGCCCTTAACCCAGTGGACAACTTACCCAGATTATATGTCACATGAAGCAGTCAGCTGTCCATACACAGCAGACATGTATGTTCAGCCTATGTGTCCCAGTTATACACTGGTTGGACCCTCTTCAGTTCTGACTTACGCCTCCCAGCCGCTGATCACCAATTTTGCGGTAAGCTAAAGATACCTAGAAATGAAGGCAAATCTGCTTTCCAGTAGGCGCTATGAGAAGCCACATTTCTCTACATTTATCTTTATACTATGGTTTGCTTGACATCCCTGACTCACATTATATTGTCAAGGATGATGTCCGCAGTAAAAAGTTATACAAGTGATGCTGAAAAATCAGAAGTAGTTTCCTCTGCCACAATTGCCTATGCAAGGAGAACAGTCCTGAGAAGTGAGACTGAGGAGAGAAACATGCCTTAGTGACCCTCTCTATAATGGTCATGCAACTGTCTCTTCTTGGTGTGAGTCTCTCGTATGGTTTTCTACGTGAGCTACAAATTCCTGTTAGTAACCTAACTGTCTAATGTGATGGCCTGATTTATTCTCTGCCTGGGCCTGGAAGTTAGGGGGATTGTTCTGAGAATTATTGTAGTTTGAGAGGGATTAAAAGATTTGACTATATTGAAGTCGGAGTGAATCCAATCTTTTTAACAAAGCTTGCCTGTTCCATGCTCTCTCAAACCCACCAGCACTCACCACCTAATTAACTCATGAACCATTCTGCATTGTTCTCATGAGACCTTCTTCAGCTCCCATTGAAGTCAGTGGTAAGACTGCCATAGATTTCATTGAGAGCTGGATCAGGCCAATGGGCAGATTTTATCTTAGGAGAGTATTGTTTGCAGCTAAGGAAAAATAATTCAGAGCAATAAAGTCATGTTGCCATCAGCTCCAACGTAACAAGGAATCCTACAGCTTTGATTCATGGTGCTCATGAAGTTTCAATTAGAGTGGATCATAAATTATAATCTTCTGTCTAGATGCACAGAATATCAGATATCAAATATACAATAGGCTCTGTTGTTTGGACAAACAGTTAGGACAAAACTGCACTTGAGAATCTGAGTGTTTCAGATGCTGTTTCTGAGTTTATTTCAATACAGTTTTTTCAGTAAGGATGTGGTTTGGGGGTTTTTAAATAAGGCTTCCAGGGAACTTGTTTTCACTGGGAAATCTTATGATGTTTAAACATGACCTTGACTTAGCTGACATGATGCTGACCATGAGTGACTGGTGGTCAATGTAGACAAGGACATGTTCAGCATCATGTCAGCTTACCCTGACACATTCCATCTGTGTTGAAACATTATCAGAGAGCCACAGATGAGGCTTGACAAAGCCCTGGCTGGAATGATTTAGTTGGGGATTGGTCCTGCTTTGAGCAGGGGGTTGGACTAGATGACCTCCTGAAGTCCCTTCCAACCCTGATATTCTATGATTCTATGATTCTATGATAGCAGGTCCAAATACAATTTATAATAATCTTGAAAGGATGCCTTGCATGCTTACAAAAGTGGAGGCAGGAGGGAGACCGGAAAGGTGACAGGAATGTGATATGTACAAGTATATTTACCACTGCAAAAACTTTGAGATTGCATTTGCTGGCTTGCTGGCAGCTGGGGTTTTAACCAAGTTGCATCCTTCTTTCTGGTGAGCTTGTGAAAATTTTCTTATTGAACATGAAACTTTATGGAGCCAGGAAAAGATGTTTTAACTGTGATAGTGAGTATCCTTATTCTGATATCTTTGTACTTAACAGCCAAGAAGCACCACTCCAGCTGTTGTGCCGCAGCTGGAGGTGACAGACCAGCAATCCCCTCTTACCTATTTCCCATGGGCTCAGCCCATTTCTGCATTACCAGCATCTACCCTGCAGTATCAGCCGGCTTCCTCCTCGCTTCCTGGGCCACAGTTCGTTCCACTTCCCATTTCAATTCCAGAGCCAGCCCCACAGGAACTCGAGGATGCAAGAAGAGTGATCAGCACTCTGCCCATTGAAAAGCTACTTCTAGAAGATGAAGACAATGATACGTATGTTTTAAATCACACTCTCTCTGTTGAAGGGCTTTAAAGTAATGTATATGGGGCCTGATCCTACATTTCTTGTTCACCCAAAACTCCAAGTGAAATCAACGAGAGTTTTGAGTGTACAAGAAAAACAGGTTTGGGCTATTTATTTTCTTAAGATGTTTTGTTATCAACCACCACTAATGTTCCCTGAATATGAGATTTGCACTGTGGAAGCAGAGAAAGAACGGTCATGCATTGCATCCCCTTCCTGTCAGTTCTTTCTCTGCTTCCACAGCACTCAGGGTGAAATTTACCTGTGCACACAGGACTAGCATGAGACTCATGTACTGCTAACGTCACTTTTAGTCCTTCCTAGTGGAAATATTGAAGTGCATGGTTCTTGTGCTGGACCTCTGCAAGGAGTAAATTTCACCCTCATATGTGGAACATGGGCTCAAACTGACATGGTTTTTAGTAACATATTTGCTAACCCTGTAGTGTCTGACTGTAGCATTTGGATACACGTATCTTAAGGGCATCTTAGAGGGTTTACTTTACAAGCCATATTTTCTTGAGCTATGTGTAACGGACACACATCGATATCTTTGCTTTGTTCAGGTGGAGGAAACTACCCCAATACCTGTGCTTAATAAATCTTTTTGAAAAAGGCCCAGCTTAAGTGTGGGGCCTGAAATGAGATGGTCCTTTAATTGATAACACCGTTGAAAAATTTCATTGTATGATTATGAATATTTTTATTCCTGTGACAGGTTTGTAGTCCACGAAAGCTTATGCTCTAATAAATTTGTTAGTCTCTAAGGTGCCACAAGTACTCCTGTTTTTTTATTCCTGTGGTAGCACCAATTGTTAGCCAGTCTGAAGACCAGTAATATAAACAGAACTGGTGAGATATGTGCTAGTGTGAAAAGAGGTCACCAGCTACAGAGGAACACAAAATTACTTAGGCAAAGAATTGTACAGTTGCTTCTTAATTTCATTTTACTGATCATTCTTGCAAAATGTACAGATTTGTCTTCATGCAGAGCTCTAGCTCAGTCAGCGGGGCAATTGGACTGATGCATTTTCAGCATTCAGTATGTGAAATGTTCCCCTTTAAAACTGGTAGAGTCATATTTTATGGCTGCCGCATGATGTTGTGTATTGCACTGAGACAGAACCTGGTCCCAATGGGATTGCAAGATATGGCCCTATGTCAGGAGATCATTGAGAAGACTGGGCCTTCCAAAATTCAGATGGGTGTGTGGCAATACTGACAGCACCGTCATTCATTCTCTTGTTCTTGGGCCTTAGTTCAGTTTACAACGATGATAAACAATCCTAAAATTGGAGACAGGCCATGTCAAATTAGAGACCTTTAACGTACCTTATCAACATTGAACGTTTCTCTGTATTCCAGTCTTTTAGAGTCACAGGCATATGCAGCATCATTATTGCATTTTGGTTTTATTCACTGGAAAATGAATAGCATCTCCCCCCTCTAAAGCTATTGTAAATATCGCTACTGGTGTTCCATGGCATCATGCCACAGACAAAGGTATTTGCGTGAGGACATATCCATTTTTAACATTTGTTAACTGTTTTCTTAATGCACCAGGGACTCCTAGATGATGAACACAATTTCTCTGGGTTTTTCTGCTTCATAAAGCCCAGGAGCCTTAGATGACTATAGCATTTAGAAGTATTTTTGGAATGAATTTATTCAAAGGGTTGTTACCTTGCATTGGTTAACTACTTGGTGCCCACTCCTCCTCCTTCTACCCAGGCAATATTCCAAATAACTTTACAGTGTTTGCCTGAGTAAGGACTGCAAAATCGGGTCCAGTGTCTCTAAGACTTTCAAAGCAGGTTTCACTATTGACAAATCTAAAGGGTTTAAACAACAGATCATGCAAATGATCATAAAATTGTCTGAAAACTGCAGTAGCTTAGGCTTACTGGTATTAGTGGCTTAAATTTGCAGAAAAACCCAGCAAAGAAATTAATTAGATGAGGCTTGATCTACCACTGTGTTACTCCAGGTTTATGCTGGTAATATAGTTATACCAGTGTAACACTGGCGTGGTGCAGTTGTGAATCAGGCCCATGTTTGCCAAGATTTATTTGAAACTTTTTTTTTCATTTCACTGTATGTAAAATCTCCCAGTTGTATATAAAGTGATGATGTGATGTCTATGGATTTCTTTCTGGGTTGTTCTGTTAGATTAAAAAAAAAACAATGTTCAATAAAGATCTACAGTAACTTTCATATGCCTAGAGTGTTTTTTTCATACTCAGAGAAGTATCCCATGGCATTTGACACAATATAAACATACTGGCTTGGAAAGCAATAATATTAGTTTGATAGCACGGTTACGAGACTATAACCAGCGATTAATTACATGGCTTTGTGTTGATTTAATGTATGCTAAAAGAGACTCTTGTGAGCCAAATATGGGCTCAAAACCTTCCCAACTCAAGTAGTCCTTACTTATGCAACTGTGGTCATGTTGTTATTTATTTGTGTTACAGTAGGGCCTAGAGAGGCTTCAATTGAGAGTGGGGACACATTGTGCTAGACACTGCACAAACACATGCTAGGAGATAATCCCTACCCTGAAGAGCTTACAGTCTAAGTAGACAAGACAGAGAGACTTGGCCAAGGTCACAGATCAGGTCAGTGGCAGAGCCAGGAATAGAACTGTGATCTCCTGACTCCCAGTCCGGTGCCATATCTAGTAGATCACATCACCTCCCAGTAAAGATAGTAAAGATATCCATGATCATGCTCTCTGGACCAAATTCTCTGCTGGTATAAATGGCTGAAGTGCCAGAAGTCAGAGGAGCTGTATCCACTTATAGCAGCAGAGAATTTGCTTCTACCTATCTGCATGCACTTTGGATGCTGGTTTGTTTGATTGTTTCCACAGCTGTGCATCAGCATTTCAGAAAGCAGATGTATGTTTTTTTATTAATGTGGCCAAGTTAACAGGAACTCTAACCCATGTAGGTATTGTGACTGTTAATTCATGTGTCAGCACCTTTTATGTTTTTTTCTCTTTATGTCCGGGTGTGTGGTCCACCTGCTTTAGCTTATCTACTGCCTAACATGGCCCAGATCCCACAAAGCTTCATTTCATGCACATTTGTCCTTATTTTGGCAGAAATAATCTAGACAGAAGGCCAGGGTGAGTGGGGCTGCACTTAATACCGAGGCTGGCTGGAAATCAGATGCCCCGTTAACATTGTCCGTGTTTTCTAGAGTGCAAACTGTGGCCCTGAGGCAATACATTTGTGGCAATTACTTTGGACAGAACAGAGTTGTCTAAGAAAACAAGCATTCGTTCATCATTATATTATTCTAAATGAAAAATATAGAACAATAAGGAGAAGGATGGCCAGCTGACTGACATCACAGTACTAATGCTTACAGGGTAAAATTCCCCCCTGCACACAGGGCCAGCACAAAATTATGTACAGCTTAAATCCCACTTGAAGACCTCAAAGCAGGGTTGAAATGGGTGGGACTTAAGTGATGCATAGGTTTGTGCTAGCCCTCTTCAGAGGGGAATTTCATCCAAACTGCAGAAGTAAGTGCACCTAAGAATAGAATTTCCCCCATCATTAGAGACCTCAGCTCCAACGAACCCTAATCTGTAAGGAATATTTCTGCTGTTATTTTATAACTTGATTGTCCTGTGGAATCAACATAACATTCTTTCCTTCAAGCCACTAGCTTTGAAAAACAGGTAGAACCACCTTGCCAAGAAATTCTGGATTTATCCTAGAGATGAAATCATTTAAAAGAGGATCTTTGTTACTTTTGGTGCACAGGTATTACCCATGTGTCCACTGCATATACATGGGATAATGTAATACTGTAATATTACTGGACCCCTGCAAGTATAACATTGTGGTTCTATTAAGAAGGACTTAAGAACTGCCCAGTGCACAGGGGTGAACCTCAGTCCCGGTAGAGTGCATTCATCTGAAAGAAAGCCTGTAACTAGGCTATGCAAGAATTGAGTAAAACTGCACGCTATTGAAATCAATAGGTTTAACTCATAGTAGCAAGCACTATGTCTGTTTTCAAGATCAGACCTTTAAATGGCCCCTCGGTGCACACCATATGCCCTTACTGGAGTCCAGCACTCACAGTATAAAACCACAGACCAGATAGTGCTGTGCAGTAAAACTGTTAATTAATCTTCAGGATGATTCATGGATAGGCAATGATCAGTGTCTTTATTTACTGTCTTAGAATTCTACATATTTATGCAGCTAAAGGTATGAGGGAATACACACTGGCAGCCGCAGAGCGTATGAGAGAGCTGCGAAGACTAGATGCCAAGGAGCACAGAGGAAAGGTAATGCAGACACTGTACCCTGCTCAAACCAGAATTGCAGCATTTAATTCACCTCTGTGCCAGCACTCATCCTGAGCATCACTTCATTCCCACTGAAAAACACATCTCCCATACATGAGTCATAAGCCTTCGGAACAAGGGTGAATTTCATCCTGGGGACAAGTACAGGATTTATTTCACTGTTTCATGAAAGGGCCTTATCCAGGCATGTTCCTGTCTCTGTCTATGCTCAGAAGGGAGCACTGTGTTTCTCATAACACTGCCAATGACAAGAGCTCCATGCCTCTCTGTCAGGAGCATCCTTGGGCAACGTGAGGGCTCAGTCATCCCATGGGTCCTGCACGGAGTCCTTCTCCCCCCTCCACAGCATTTTCTTTTTTATTAGTTTCACTGTTGCTGGAGTCTTGTATTGTATTTGTTTTGCTGCTATTTTCAGACTCCCCTGTTGGTTGCTGTAGCTGCCAGACAACCAGCCATAGTCTATGATTTGATACTGACAGGGGCTGATGTCAATGCTGTGGACGATAAAGGGCAATCCGCTTTACACCTCGCGGCAACATATGGATACGCACAAGTCATTCAGGTAGGAACAGCTTCCTTATTTTAATTGCAAGCAATATAGAAGTGCAAAGAAATCACAGTATTGGGATAGGGTATTGAAAACCATGCTAAAATTTCAGTTCTCAGGGGTTTCCTGGTCCTGCTTGCAGGCTAAGGGGCTCTGTAATGAAATATGCAATCTGAGCCTAGCAGCAGTCAGTCTGCAAAGAGCCAGTCTAGAGCAAGCTGTGTGAGTTGTGTCTCTGTGCCTTACGGAGCAGCCTGCATCGTCTCTCTCTGTTTATGGTTCTCATCTTGTGAAGATTCTGGATTGTAAGAAATAGTGTTACACTGCAACCTTCCAGAAAGAGTATTTTGTTTTTATCTAACTTCTCTGTTTGTATGCCGTGAATGTAACAATCGATTGAGAGATGTGTTTCTAAAATGAACATCTCAGAAGTAAATATATCCTTAAGTAAAAATCTTTTGGCTTGATTTCATTCTTTCCAGTCCTTTATTAGGAGTCTTTTTTGCCACTTGCACCTAATATGTCAGCCCTTCACTTCAAAGGAGATGGCTGTATCATGTCACTATCTTGCTACTCGTGTTGTGGATGCTAGCTCCAAACCTGGTAGAGGAAATCTAGGCATATTATTGTTGTTATTATTTGTTATTTGCATTGCAGTAGTGCCCGGGGCTCCAGTCAGATGTGAGCCTTATTGTGCTAGGCACTGTACAAACACACTAAGAGAAAGCTCCTGCCCTGAAGAGTTTGCAATCTGAAGAGACATCATGGAACAAGTGGGTGTAGCAAACAGAAGGAGTCACAGGGAGGGAGAAGGTAACAATGATAGGAGCACATCAGGAGCACACAGGTGTAAATCTGGAGTAACACCACTGAAATCAGCAGAGTTACTCCAGATTTATATCATGGTGAATGAGAGCAGAATTTGGTCCCTGGATACGTAGACTAGCTCTCTACACAGTTTGCAAAATCAGATATATTTTTTAAATGATAAATAGAGACAAGAGTTATTGATGTGGCTTTTCAAAGGCACAAAGAGGAAGTAGACATTCATGGCAGACCCTCAGCTGACGTAAATTGTCATAGCTCCATTGCCATCAGATTGATCAGCTCCCTTGCTCCAATTCTTACTGAAAGTCAATGACACTTGACTGCCCTTTGTGCTGTTGAATATCTCTTCTGTTAACGATAGCAGTAAACTTGGTGGGCCACCTGCCGAGCCATTATTTCCTGTGCGTTTCTGCCTGCCTGGTTGTATGGCCCGATTCTGATACACTTTCTCACACTGAATAGTGCTTTATTTAGGGTGAACATATATTCCATTTTGGCCGGGACAGTCCCTTTTTTAAGCCCTGTCCCAGCTGGCCTGACTTTTTTGTGTGTGTGTGCGCGAAAGTAGGCATTTGTTCCGTTTGCTCTTGCTGACTCGATCGGTTGGCAAGAGCATAAGGGACAAATGCCCACTTTTGTCAAAAAAGTTGGGTGCACTGAGGAAGAATTTGCAGGGGGGAGGCAAGCAGAGATGCCAGCCCTGCACGAGGGGGTGGGAGGAGGGGGGAAGCAGTGTTCTAGCAGGCAACAGCCTCACGCAGGGGGTAAGGGGGCAGTTTTCCAGCAGGCAACAGGGTTCCGACTGACAATAGCCTCACACGGGGGGAAGGGGAGTCGGGCGAGTGGCTGGGAGTGTCCCGTTTTCCTTTTGGGAAATATGATCACCCTAGCTTTATTCTGCCAGAAATCCTATTGACTTGAACAGGATTTCTCACAGAGCAAGATACTACCCAACATGGGTGAGTGTATTGGAATCTGGCCCTTTAGTAGATCATCGGTTGCTAATAAACTTTAAAGAAACCTTTACCCCGCTTTCTATTCATACCAGCAGACACTGTAGGAAGCTTCCCTGACAAAGTTCTGGCACCCACAATGATAGGTAGGGCTGTTCCTCTAATGATGGCGCTGCATTGTAAATGAAAGAATGTTGCAAGATCGCCTTAGTTCTGGCCGTTTGAATTCCAGCACTGGTTAACCATGCCTTATACACAGCCCTAAGTTAATTCATAAATAGGAAGTTAATATGTAACTTACAGAGTGCTTAAGACAACATTCTTTTCACGCAGCCTCATAAAGTGCTGAATCTGACTGGGAGGATTCCATTGAAGGGAATGTTTGTGGGGCACTTGTAAAATAGACGGAACCCTTTTTCATGGAAATGCATCTTTTTCACTTAAAATAAGTGCTGCAAAATATATTCAGGCTCCCCAATCTGTGTAGGCAAATCCTTGAATTTTTAAGGTTTCAATCTGAACTTTTCTTCTCCCCCTTAATGAACTGAGAT